GCCCGCCTCGGTTGCCAGCCTCTGTGGCGGTCTCGTTGTCCGCCCCGCCGGCCTTGTCGCCCTCCGCGCCCTCGGTTTCCACTTCGTCGTCAGCGCCCACAGCAGATTCGTCCCACGCGCAGTTTCCGGGCTCGCCCCAGCGTGTGCCGACGCGGATTCACCTTGAGGCTTGTCTCTGACAGGCTCTTCCAGCCATTCGGTGAACGTCCGAGGGAGATACGGGCAAATCCAGAGCACGGGCAGGTTGCCTAAGGTTTCCAGAGGAGGAGGATTCGGAGGAGCAGGAGGCGCGGGAGGTGACGGAGGAGCAGGAGGAGCAGGGGGAATAGGAGGCGGCAGGAGGCTGTGGAGGTTCGGGGGGATCAGGTGCGACACGGCTGTACCACCCGTCAGCGCTAACGGTAAAAGCGGGCTTCCTAGGCTTGTTCTTGAAGAGGAAATGGGTGCCTGAGAATTCCGCCATGGCTGAAGCAGCCTGGCGGGAGAGAAACGAAAACTGTGGTTAGAATGTGCAAGAATGAGGATTGAAATGGAGTTGGGAGGGACCCCTTCTCTTTGGCGCCTCGAGTTCCTCGACGATGACAAGCAGGAAACCCCCGCCTACACCCGCAGAGGACCATGCGTGGCGTGCACGACGCTGCGATGGCATGGCGAATTCCACCACCTTCTAGAGGGTTCGGGTGGAATTTGCTTGCCTAGCAGCGCATGACGCTGTGAATTGGGCCGCACGGCAGGATACGCGTCAGCTGCTGGCATGAATGATTCCACCCCCTTCTAGAGGATTCGGGTGGAATCGGCGCAATGAGCACGCCATTGGACCGCACGGCAGGATTCGTGTCAGCAACAGCAGGTTCGTTGCTTCTGGACGTGAAGGTGAACCCCGAACCCGAATCGCGGTTGGTTTCCCCTGAAACTCGTGCACGAAACCACGTGACTCGAACGTTTGGTTATGTTCGCCTTACAGAGAGCTTCAATTCGGTACTTAAAAAAACAAATTTCATTTTCCCTCTTACAGGCGCATGCGCTTATCCCCGATACCTCGTTTACAAGCGCCCCCCCTTATAAAACTTGATTTTATTATAAGCGCATATGCGCTACTATCGGGGTAATACGGTATGTACAGCGTGTACTCTTACAAGCACTGTAGCACTGTACCGCGTATGTTCCATTGCTGACATCTCCTCACCTCACCAGACTCCATCGCACTCCCTCCCTCCGTTCACCATTCTCACCTTACTCGAGCCCCCCGGTCCCCCCAATCCCACCCTCTCCATCTCTCTTCTCTTCCCAACAACTCTTCTAGTCCAGTCTAACCCCCCACCCCACCCCCCCCCCCCACCCCCCAGTTCCGGCCTTAACCAAATATTATACAGTAAGCCCCACTTCTCCCGTAGAAATGAGGTTCTGCCATCTTCTGAAAGGTTTCATGAAACCCAACTCTTAATGAGTCTCCAGCATGAACGGTGCAAGCTCACGTCTAAATCTCTTTCCAAACTACTCTTCTGAGCATCTAAGCAGCTGAAATAAGCACACCGCCTCCCTTTTCAGGCGGCTCAACAGCCCAACTAGGGATGAGCTTCCAGCATGAACGGAGCAAGCTCGACTTGGAATTTCTTCTCAAACTCCTCGCCTGTGCACGCAAGAAACTGAGTCAAGCACACCGCCTTCCCTCCCTGCCGCCAACCTTCACCTCGCTGAGATAAAGCATTCACAGCCACAGCCCCTCCCCCTCCCAACGCAGCATAGCTGTCTTGTGCATATTCCAAAGCAGTTCGATCCTCATGCTTCCTCACCCCGACCTCATCTTTCCCACCCACATCCTCCCCTGCTGCTCCCTTCCCTTCTGCCCCGCTCCTCCCATTAGAAATGCCTTCCAAGTGCCATCTCCCTGCACCATTTTTGGCAAAGCTTCCTCATGCGGCACCAACACAAAGCCTCTGCTCACCAGTGCCACATGTCGCGGTCTGATTCGCCGCTCCAAGCTGTACCCAAGGAAGTGAGGGAACGCAAGCACCTCCTTTATAGAGAGCCCCATGTCCCGCTTTAAGTATTCCACCTTGTGCCTCGTGTTCCTCTCCCAACTGTAGCAAATAGAATTCGGGAACGTAACCACCAGCTTCACCACGAGCTCACAAGCTGTTGTTGTGGCAGCAATGCTCGTAGAACCTGATCCTTCTTCTGAATCTTCTTCAGCCCAGGCCTCGACCCCTGATTGACAGCCAGCATCGCTCCCCCCTTGCTCCGCACGTTCTCTAGCATCCTTTTGACACGCTTCAAAAGCCGGGCTTTCTCTTGAAACCCCCATCACCTTCACCACCCTCCAATGCCTCTCCCACCTCATGCACAAGCTTCCTAGCACCTTCCTCAAGCAAGTGCCTCCCACTCTCCTCTCCCCTACTCTCCTCCATTGCCTCTTCCACCTCTCGCACGAGCTCTCTAAAACCCTTCTTAATGTTCTCCTCATTAGAAGCCAGCAGCACAGGAAACCGTGCAACTGCAAGCACAGTGTTCTCTCGGCCAATCAGATCGCCCAACAATGCCACCTTGCCTTGCATGTTCTCTATGGATAGAAGAAGAACCGTTGGATGGCTTCGCACCACACATGCGGCTGCCTTCTTCCCTACCAGTTCCTCGAAGTACTGGAGCTTAGCTAAGATATTCTGAGAGCTGAGGTGGACGAGAGAGGGGGCCTGGCGGAGAACCCGGATGGCAATGGAGGGGCTGTCAGGGGGAGTGAAGGACTGGAGGAGACTGAGGATGGGAGGGATGCGCTCGGGAGGTTTGAGGAGGATACCTGGATATTGCACCAGGAGTTTTCTCAGGTGAGCTTTGTCCTGGTCCTGCCTATTCAGGTGTCCGCTGCCGACAATTCCTCCTTCGTATCCACCAGTAAAATACGCTGACACTTGCTCGAGACGTCTTCGTATCGTTTCCTCCCCCAAGAATAGGATACCCGGATCTCTCTCAATAATCACACCGAGCTTGTCCACAGGAACCCCTGCTCTTTCCACCAAGATGTCCAGGTTCGTTGAACGAACCTGTGAGCGAATGACATATGGAGACCTTCGGAGAACTGCACCTAGCCTGGTTCGGAGTATGCCCCGAGCCAAGAAAAAGCCAAGCATTTCCCGAACCTGGGGAAGGGAGACTCGGAGCCAGAAAGGGTTACTCATTGTGATGGTCGAGATGTCGGCACGGGATATGTCATACGACTCTAGAAGCTCGACACGTGGCAGCAAGTCATTGGTGGAATCAGACCGAAGGAGCGCAGGGTAAGAGGCGAGGAGGGAAGCGACAGTGGAAGGGGAGGAGATGCCGAGGTGGGAGGAGAAGAAGCGGTAGAGGGAGAGGAGGGAGGAGGGAGAAACAGCCCGCCGCCTCTTGAGTAGAGAAGGGGGCGTGGGAGGAGATGTGGCGGGTGTTCCGTCCTCATCACTCGCTCCTGCCTCTGCTTCTGCGTCTTCCCCCTCCTTCCATTCCTCATCCTCTTCCTCCTCAACTTCTGAGCCCTCTATTTCCTCATTCCCCATACCCCACCTCTTCCTCTTCTTGTCGTCCCTTAGCCTCCTCCTCATCCGTAATCCTTCCATTTGCTGCCCCCCCCTCCTCCTCCTCCTCTATCACTATTTGAGGCCCGAACTTCTCTCTCAACACTCCAGCAATCACCGCCACTGCCTTTTTCTCCTCCTCTGTTACCTCGCATCCTCCCCTCCCTCCACGCTTCCTCCTGTCTCCCTCAACCTTTCCCTTCACTTTCCTTGCTCTCCTATCACGTCTCGTACGCTCTCCTCTGCAATCCGCCTCCTCCCTTCCCACTCTACTCTCGCTCTCCTCTGATTCTCCTCCCTCTCTTTCTCCCTTTTCTTTTCCATCTGCACGCAACCGAGCGTCGGTCTCAACCGTCAGCACTGTCTTGCCATCGAAGCTCGGATCAAATCGCGGATTTGCGCTCTCCGCCTCGGGAATCTCTACTTGGCTGGCTAACGATCCAGCGGGACAGCTTACAGTGAAGCTCCGGTCAGGGTTTCGAATCCTGGTGAATGCGTTTTTCTGCAGGATGGTGTCGGTTTAGCCCGAACTGGTAGCCGCTCGACGGGGAAGGAATAGCAGCTGCGGATTGTAATTCCAGGCTTCAATGAAAACGACTTGGAACGAGGAGTAGAAGACTGTGTCATGTATCTTAGCGAAAACAAAATCTGTCAATCCGCGCGATGGATGGCCGTGACCTGGAGGTACGAAACGCCATAGCGATTAGCCGACGGATTATACGGCTTCAGGATGAAACAGAAGTAATGAAATACGGCTTCAGTGCTCGTCCTACAACGAACTATCTGATGTGATTCTCTGAGCATCGTGCTGTGACTGCCAGAAATCTAACGAGCTAAAAAAGCGCTCAGTCCATTTCTCTGGGTGCAGTTTTCTCGCCCCCCCGTGGCAGACCCCAGAAAGCACCAGATCAACGAAAAAACTGGCGCTGAGATCACCGAGCTGCGACAATATTGGCTGGCGAATCCACCCATTCACCCTTCACGATTGCATTGCGACTATGAACCGTCGCAAGCAGAGTTTCATGTGCTTTCACCAGCCCATTTGTATCTAGGCGACGAGGTCGTTGGCACACTTGCGAAGAGTCGTGTGCGCCCGTTCGTGCCGCTTCGAATTCGTACCCGTTAACAGAAATTGATGAAGCAAGCACATTAGAACGATACCGTAAGTTTCTCATTAGGTGGGATCGAGAGTGTATGTGTTCCATTGCAATCTCACTCCCTCCCTTCACCATTCCAGCCTTTCCGTTATTCGCCTTCCCCTTCCCAATGGCTCTTCTACTCCAATTTACACCCCCCTCAATCCCCCCTTCCCCCTGCCCTCCGCATTGACCACCATTACCAGGTAAAACCCGCTTAGTATTGAGTTTTTGGCACTTGCTAAAATGCTCCAGTAAAACCGACTAGGGACGAGTTTCCGGCATGAATGGTGCGAGCTCGACCTTGAATCTCTTTTCAAAACTCCTTGTCCGTGCGTCCAAGCAACTGAGTCAAGCACGCCACCTCCCATCCCTGCTGTTGATTCACGCCGCGCCGGCCCGCAGCACCTTTTCTCCCCAACACATCATAGCGGTCTTGCATAGAATCCAATACACTTTGATACTCAACCTTCCTAACCCCCAACTCATCCATCTCACCATCTTCCTCCCCATATTCCAATTCCATATGCTCTTCCTTCCCTTCTCCACTCCTATCACTGCCAACTCCCTCCAAGTACCGCCCTTCTCTCCTTTCTCCACCATTCTTCGGCAGCGCTACCTCATGTGGCACCAACACATAGCCATTGCTCAGCAGCGCCAAATGTCGCGGGTCGGATTCGCCGATCCAAATTGTAATTAAGGAAATGTGGGAACGCAAGCACCTCCATTATAGACAGCCCCATGTCCTGCTTCAAGTATTCCACCTTGTGCCTCGTGTTCCTCTCCCAACTGTAGCAAATACATGTCGGGAACTTAACCACCATATTTGCCACCATATCACGAGCTGTCGTGGCGCCAGTAGTTCTCTTAAAGCCTCGGCCTTCTCCTGCCCTTGCTTCTGCACCTCTCCCCCCTTGCTCCGCACGCTCTCTTGCATCCTTTGCATCAATTTGAGGCTCTTCAACATACGGGCTTTCTCGTGCATACCCTTCATCTTCACCACCCTCCAAAGCCTCTTCCACTTCTCGCACAAGTTCGCTGAAACCCCTCTTCAGGCTCTCCCCATTAGACGCCAGCATCGAAGGATACCGTGCCACTGCAAGCACAGCGTTCTCTCGGCCAATCAGATCGCCCAACAACGCCACCTTGCCTTGCATGTTCTCTAAAGATATAATAAGAACCGCCGCATGGCTGCGCAACACAGTCCCTGCTACCTTCTTCCCCACCAACTTCTCTAAGTACTGGAGCTTAGATAGGATATTCTGTGAGCTCTGGGACAAGAGAGTGGGAGCCTGGCGGAGAACAGGTATGGCAACAGAAGGGCTGCTAGGGGGGGTGAAGGACTGGAGGTGGCGGAGGTTGGTAGCAATGCGCTCGGGAGGCCTGAGGAGGATTTTTTGGAAAAAACACCAGGACTTTGCTCAGGTCATCCTTGTGCTGCCGGTTCAGGTGTTGCCTCAGGTGGCCGCTGTTGATGCTTTCTTCTCCGTATCCGTTAGTAAAAAACGTTGATACCTGCTCGAGACGACGTTGTATGGTTTCCTCCCTCAAGCATAGGATAGTCGGGCCCCTCTCTATAATCACACCCAGCTTGTCCACAGGAACCCCTGCTCTCTCCACCAGAATGTCCTGGTTCGCTGAACGAAGCCGCATGGTCATGAGATAACGAGACTTCCGGAGCACCATACCTAGCTTGGTCCGGCGTACGCCCCGAGCCAAGAGAAAGTCAAGCATTTCCCGAACCTGGGCAAGGGAGCATCGAAACCAGGAAGCATTGTTCATGGTGATGGCTGACATGTCGGCGCGGGATACGCCATACGACTGGAGGAGGTGGACACGTGGCAGCAGGTCACTGGCAGGATCAGAACGCATGAGGGCAGGGCGTGAGGCGAGGACTGAAGCGACAGTGGAAGGGGAGGTGATGCCGAGGTGGGAGGAGAAGAAGCGGTAGAGGGAGAGGAGGGAGGAGGGAGATACGACCCGAGGGCTGTTGAGTGGAGGAGGGGGTGTGGGAGGAGATGTGGTAGGTTGTCCGTCCTCATCACTCGCTTCTTCTTCTGCTTCTGCTGCTGCGTCTTCCCCCTCGTTCCCTTCCTCATCCTCTTCTCCCTCAAATTCCGCGCCCTCTGCTTCCGCATTCCCATCCACCTTCTCCTCTCCTTCTGCACCCTTCGCCTCCTCGTCCGTAATACTTCCGTTTGTAGACCCCTCCTCCTCCCCTTCCTCTCTCACAATCTGAGGCCCGAATTTTCCCTTCAATACTCCAGCAATCACTGCCACAGCCTCCTCCTCCTCCTCTGTCGCCTTGCATCCTCCCCTCCCTCCACGCTTCCAACCGCCTCTCTCAACCTTTCCCTCCACAGCGCTTGCTCTCCTACCACGTCTCGTACGCTCTCCTCTGCCATCCACCTCCTCCCTTCCCACTCTACTCTCGCTCTCCTCTGATTCCCCTCCCTCACTTTCTCCCTCCTCTCTTCCATCCGCACGCAACCGAGCCTCAGTCCCAACAGCCAGTACTGGCTTGCTATCGAACCTCGGATCGAATCGCACGCTCTCCGCCTCGGGAACCTTTGCTGCTCTGGCGAACGAACCAGCGGGACAGCTTATAGTGAAGCTCCGCTCAGGGGTTCGAATCCTGGTGAATGCGTTCTGCCCAAGTTGGTGTCGGTTAGGTCCAAACCGGTAGAGGCTCGGCGTGGAAGGATTGGCAGCTATGGGCTCTGGAAATGACTTGGAACCAGGAGTAGACGACTGTGTCATGCGTCTAAGTGAAAAGCTTAATCTGTTAATCCACGCGATGAATGGCCGTGATGTTCTAGCACGACACGCCATAGCGAATAGCCGACGGATGCAATGAAAGGGATGAAGGATTACATAAACGAGTTACACGCCTGTAGTGCTTGTCCTACGACGAACCATCCGGAATTATTCCCGATTCCCGAATCGTTGCAGTGACTGCCAGAAAACTAACGAGTTACAGGAACCGTTTCATCTCCATGGCTACTCCAGTAAATAGCATGCAGTCATATCGCTCTCTAGTAGCATACTCTAGAATACAGACCCGAAGAAATTCTGGAATAGTGCTCTGATCATAGAAACCACACAAGAAACTAGTAGAGGCAAAAGTAAGAGAGCATTTTCTGGTCCCACTGCCAGCACTGGGATTACCGAGCTGGGATAACCTTACGATTGCCAGCTTGGCAGGCAAATCACGATTCACGAATTCATTCTTCTCTCGCGAGTACTTACGACACGAATGCACACGGAGTATTTTGTGCCTTCGCTAGCCCAACGCATACGAGGCGACGACCGGTTGCCACACTTGCGACGCGTCGTGTGTTTCGCCAGTCCTCGAGCTTGGTTGTGTTGTTTCGGATTCGTACCCGTTCACCGGTATTGATGCAGACAACACATCAGATTTCAGGTGCAATATTTCACAAAAAATCATTAGGTAGACTCTGAAAATTTGAGTGTTAAACAACACAATTGCAACAACAGTCAACGAAGTGGACCTCATACCTCCGTTTGTTCCATCATAACTCCTCAAAGCGCTTATTTTCAGACTATATTTTGCATATGTTATCCTCTAAATATCCGGTAATGCTTCTAACCACATTCACATAAAAGATGTGAATAGAGGGTTTATTTAGCACTCGTACAGCAAAAACATTTTATTGCTGCCTCGGATGTTACAGATCCACGTGTGCATTCTCTCTTTTGAGGATCAGGGGCTCACCCCACGCGAGGACCTATCGAAAGGTCATCAGGCATGCTTTTGACCTGGACGTGACGCGACAGCCTTGAGATTGCCAGTCCTGTGACAGGTCCCATCCTGCCACGTGTACATCAGATTGACCCTAGGGGATCACTCATCCCTGTCAGAAGCATTAGAGGTTCACCGCGATGAGCAAATCTAGCCCGTCGCAACTGCTTTCTGCATTTCTTCATAAAATCTCGACCATTAAAACCCACTATGACAGGGCATCTTCAAACTGCTGCTCAACCTCTGATGCCTGAACTCCCAAGCCCAGCCTTGGGATCTCCGTGCACACTAGAAGGCCCTAACTAGTCCTCTCCTGCTGATCAGACGAACAGTTTCAATTCCTGGTCACGGAATCCGGTTTCAGTTGCCTGATCAAAGCTGAACTGACTAGACCTTAGCCAGTTTTCTTTCATTGATTAGCATCTGAAGCCATGGAGGCTGTCGCAATCGCTCCTCGCGTACCAGTTGCGATTTCCCAGCGAAACTCTGTCGCAGGAGCTTCGAGCCAGCGTGCTCGCCCCCTCGCAGCTCCCCAGCAGCAGCGCTGGCGATGCTTGTCTTCCTCGTCGTCGAGCGTCGCAGGAGTGTCGCTCCTGAAATCTGTCGCACAGGCACGCAGTACTAAGACCAGAAAGGCCTCAGCGTCTCGTCTGGTAGTACAGGCTAAGGACGAGTCTTTCGACTATGACCTTATCATTATCGGCGCTGGCGTCGGTGGTCATGGCGCTGCTCTGCACGCCGTCGAGCAGGTACCTTTCTTCAGGCGTATGTTCCGGAAAAGAAGAATAGGTAGAACGTATCACTCACAAATGAGTGCGTCTTGTGTCACTCTAAGGCCTTTATTTCTAACAATTTCCGGTGACATGTTTCGTGGCCCTTTACAACGCTGATCAATGTTCCTGCACTTCCAATTTTTGGCAAAATCTGATTACCAGGGCCTGAAGACGGCCATTATCGAGGGTGACGTGGTGGGAGGCACGTGCGTGAATCGCGGGTGCGTGCCGTCCAAGGCGCTTCTCGCCGTCAGCGGTCGCATGCGCGAGCTCAAGGACGAACATCATCTCAAGTCGCTCGGCATCCAGGTAATATCTGGTAATAATTAATCGATATTACTTGACAATTAATGGTTAAACCCGTCTGCCAAGCGTGAGAAAGCGTTGCACGTTTGTCCTGTGCGCGAGTTCGGGAATAAGCATCACCTCAAGTCAGTCAGCATCCACGTAGTACCGTACGACTGAATCAGACCCAAGTAGTTCAATCACTCGTAAACCCGAATCATGAAACCCGAATCATGCTTGCAAGTTAAGAAGCTAGCCAGACAAGCTCTCTCAGTAAGCACGGTCGGATATGTTTCGTTCATCCCTTCCTTTCGTCCTCCAGGTCGCAGCTGCGCAGTACGACCGGCAAGCAGTGGCAGATCACGCGAACAACCTGGCTGCGAAAATCAGAGGCAACCTGACCAACTCGATGAAGGCCATCGGTGTTGACATTCTCGATGGCTTCGGCTCCCTCGTCGTAAGTGCCACGTACTACCGCTCGTTCTCTGTCCCCTCTACCCTGTCCACATCAAGCTTGTCTTCGTGGGCCCCCTACACATTCTCCCGCTGATTTCACCTGTTGGGGCGACCTTCTCCTTGTCTCAGAGCCTGACCTCTCGTTTCCTTATATCCTGACCCCGTTTCATCCCATTGCGCGCCCCACAGACCCCTCAGAAGGTGAAGTACGGGAAGCCGGGCGCGGCGGAGAAGACGGTGACGGCGAGAGACGTGATCATCGCCACCGGCTCCACGCCGTTCGTGCCCCCCGGCATCGAAGTCGACGGTAAGTTCCGCGCATGGCAATTGTGCGCTCGAGACTGCTCGTAGGTGGCTTTTAATTCGACTCAGTCACCTCTCAGCGAAGAAGACGGTGACGGCGAGAGACGTGATCATCGCCACGGGCTCCCCGCCTTTCCTGCCTCCCGACATCGAGGTGGACGGTTAGATCCGCGCATTGCGGATTGTGGGTGCTTGAGGCTGCGCGTGGTGTTCACTGTGCTGTGGCCTGTGCCGTACGCTCCGTCGTCATGTCATAATTCGACATACTTTTCTGACCCTTTCCGTTTCCCTCGTTTTGTAACTTCGTTTCGAAAAGTGTGGAAGCTTCCGTTGTAAGCTGTCGGTGTTCGCGAGCAGGGACGGGGCTCTGTAACTGTAGTGGGAGGCGAATAGTATGGTCATTAGGTTTTCACTTGTACTGTGCCCACTTGCCCGATCCGACTGCCCCATTTATTCCCCCAGGCAAGACGGTGTTCACGAGTGATGAGGCCCTGAAGCTGGAGTGGATTCCCGACTGGATTGCCATTGTGGGCAGCGGCTACATCGGCCTCGAGTTCAGCGACGTCTACACCGCTCTGGGTGCCGAGGTGCGTAGCTTGATTTGAGGCGCATCGTGATACGACTGGATCCACATTGTGGGTTATTCACTCCGTGCCTCCGCCTGACTCCCCTTTATCGCCATCCTTTCTCTGCTCATCTCCTCGTCCCCCTCGTTTCCCTCGCCTCGCTCGATTCTCTCCTCTCTACACTCAGGTGACGTTCATAGAGGCTCTGAATATCATCATGCCGGGATTCGACCCTGAGATTGGGAAGCTGGCGCAGAGGGTGCTCGCGAACAACCCACTCATCCTGCAAAGTATTCTGAGTGCACCAAACAACTCCTGTCAACCGCCTCCCCTTTCTTCCCCTTTCCCCCCAGGTGACGTTCATTGAGGCGTTGGATATCATCATGCCAGGGTTTGACCCCGAGATCGGCAAGCTGGCGCAGAGGGTTCTCATCACCCCCTCGCAGCATTGACTACCACACGGGCGTGCTCGCCAAGAAGGTGCGTGGCGAGGGGGGTTGGAGGAGATGAGTGGGTTGCTAGCCAAGAAAGCGTGTGGGGTTGGGAGTGGCAACGAGGGTCTCAGGCATGCTATGAGACGAGGGTGGTACCTGTGCTGTGTGTACTCAATTTCTCTTTGTTTCTCTTGCTCGCTCCCTCACCGGTTTGTGACCCCCCCCCTCTCACAGATCACCCCTGCACGCGATGGCAAGCCAGTGCAGATCGAGCTGGTGGACACCAAGACGCGGGAGTACAAGGAGACGCTCGAGGTGAGCACTGAGTAGAGAGGAGAGAAGAGGAGATTAGGAAGTGCAGAGGGATGGTTGGGTGGAGGTGAGGAAAGATGGGGCAGACGAGATGACGGCAAGCCTGTGCTGCAGATCGAGTCACCAAGATACGGGAGTACAAGGAGACGCTCGAGGTGAGCGTGGGGCAGAGAGGAGTGGAGAGGGGTGGAGAGGAGAGGAGATGAGATTAGGGTACACGGGGAAGAGGTGGCATGGGCCTTTTGAAGGCCAAGAGGAAGGAGTATACTGGAAGTGGGGAGGCGGGACTGCAACAGGAGTACACGTACACCAGGACTCAAGATGTGGGTCGTGTGGAGAGAAAGGAATGGAAGGGAACGAACCGGGGGGGAGGGGAGAGTCCAAAGTGTGGCAGCACGAGTGAAGGCTGATGGAGGAGGAAAAGCTTGTGATTCTGAAGTTCACTTCCTCCACACCTTGCTGTTCGCCCTCCTCGCATTCACCCGTCCCCTGGCTGATTCAGAGCGAGGGTTAAAAAAAACGACCGTTTTTTTGAAAATTTACCGTAAAAAACGATACCGTAAAAAACGACCGTTTAAAACGGTTTAAAACGGTTCCAGGAGGTGCTTTCAGTTTAATTAACATATCGGCCATTTTATGGGACCAAATTGAACCCGAATTTCAGCAGGATGAAGGGGACGGGCCCCTTCTTGGATGTGTGCTCTTGTTGGCATGTTTGATAACGTGTTTGACCTTGTTTTTCCCTTTTTTTTTCTTGGTGACCAGAGTTTTCTAACAAAAAAACGGCCGTATTCTTGGAAAATCACCGTAAAAAACGACCGTAAAAAACGGACCGTATTTTACGAAAACCGTATTTTTGAACCTCTGACTGCCACTGAGTACCGTTTAACACCGCTCACAATGCTTCACTTCACCCTCACGTTCCTTTCATTCACCCCCCCTTCTGCCCCTTCCGTCCTCCGTCCTCTTCCTGTCTCTCTCTCCCCCACCCTTCAGGTTGATGCGGCTCTGATTGCCACTGGCCGAGCGCCCTTCACCAAGGGGCTTGGTCTTGAGAATGTGAGTGCATGTCCTGGTATTGCAGTGTTAGCGCATGGCTTGCAAGTGAAGAATCTGATCCGATGTATTGGTGGTGTTGAATGTGTGCGTGCGTGCATGGCTTGGATTTGAGACCTCACAAAACATTGTTTTTTCCATCAAATCCCCTAACCCTGCTGCCAAGGCTGTTCGGTTCTTCTGCTGTTCTTTATGTATAGACCTCGCTCTAAATCGCTTTCCCCTGCTCTGCTCACCACTGATTTGAACTCCCTGCTCCTGCCTACACCTCCCTCCGTCCTCCTGACTAACCCAATCCACCACACTCCTGCATATATGCGTGCAGGTGAATGTGTCAACAAACCGTGGGTTCGTGCCTGTGAATGAGACCATGCAAGTGCTCGACTCTGAAGGCAATGTCGTAAGCACTCTATGTCCGACCCATCCCATTGCAACCCATCATGTCTGTCCAAGCCCCTTATCGTCTTCCCTGCACCTACGAGATTCGGGGCCTTCTTTGTGCCTACAAAGAGAAACTCCCTTCTAACCTCCCCCATTCCCTCTATCCAGGTGCTCCACGTGCAACCAGGCTGAGAATTCCGTCCCACTCCCGCCCTTTTTCCCACCTCCCTTACCCTTTCCTCTTGTCTTCTACCCAATTTCCCTCCCCAGATTCCCCACCTGTTCTGCATTGGCGACGCGAATGGCAAGCTGATGCTGGCGCATGCAGCGAGTGCGCAGGGCATATCGGTGGTGGAGAACATCAAGGGCCACAGCAACGTGCTCAACCACCTCTCCGTTCCTGCTGCCTGCTTCACCCACCCCGAGATCAGCATGGTTGGGCTCACAGAGGTGAGTGACTGAGAGGCAAGGCAGAAAAGGGAAGAAGTCTGGGTTTTGAGACGTCTTACAAAGTTTGGAGGCAGGACAGAAGGGGAAGGATGTCTGGGTTTGACATGCCTTGATGCCCGTGCCTGTTCTACCTACCTCAAGTTGCTCTCCCTAGCCTTTTTTACTCCTGCTGTTCTCTGTTCTTTTGTGCCTGTCGCCCTTTCCCACCACCTGCCCCAAGCTTGGGAGGCAGCAGCGGAGGGCTTCCAAAGTGAGTGTGGTCAAGACGAGCTTCAAGGCAATCTCATATGTTCCTCTGTTGTGTCACGCCCCCCCCCCATCCCTATCCCGCTTGACCCACCACCAGCCCCAGGCACGGGAGAAGGCAGCAGCAGAGGGCTTTGAAGTGAGTGTGGCCAAGACGAGCTTCAAGGCCAACTCCAAGGCGCTGGCAGAGAACGAGGCTGACGGCATGGCTAAGGTGGGCTCCAATGGAGGGAGGATCAGGGCCTAGGGGCATCATTCATGGCATGATGGGGGGTTGATAGAGGGGTTGAATTGGGGGAAGATGGGTGGTTATATGATGAGCTTCAAGGCCAACTCCAAGGCGCTGGCAGAGAACGAGGCAGATGGCATGGCTAAGGTGTAGAGTAGTAGATTGTAGAGGGGAGTGGATGCAAAGGTGAGAGATTGACAAGGGGAATTGCTTAGGGGAAAGGGGAGAAGAATGCCTCAGCTTCAAGGCCAACTCCAAGGCGCTGGCAGAGAACGAGGCAGATGGCATGCCTAAGGTGGGTAATGTTCTGAAGGGGGGTGTAGGGGTAAGGGAAAGCTGTGGAGGGATTGATAGAAGGGTTTAATTGGGGCAAGGGGAGAAGGATTCCTATTTGACAAGATGAGCTTCAAGGCCAACTTTAAGGCGCTGGCAGAGAACAAGGCTGACAGCACGGCTAAGGTGGGGAGTCGTAGTGTAGGGGATGAATAGGGGCAAAGAGCAGTGGGATTGGTAAAGGTGGGAATGGGCATGGTTGGGGGATTCACATCGCAGAAGGGATAGATGGGGCAGCAAACAAGAGAAGCATGCCTCCATGACGAGTTGAGTTCACACCCAACTATAAGGCCCCAACCCTGAGGAGATCCTGGGAGTGCACATTCTTGGGCTGCACGCAGCTGACACCTTTCTACTCCGTTTCTCCCCTCCTCACTTGTCAGATGATCTACCGCCCAGACACGGGGGAGATCCTGGGCGTGCACATCCTGGGGCTACACGTAGCGAACCTCATTCCACTCTGTTTCTCCCCTCCCTCTCATGATGTATCACACACCTTGTGTATCATATGAATTGTACCCTTTTCAGATGATCTACCGCCCAGACACCGGGGAGATCCTGGGCGTGCACATCCTGGGGCTGCACGCACCTGACCTCATTCACGAGGTCTCCAACGCCATGGCCACCGGCCAAACCCTCAACGTACGCACATGGGAAGATTCAGAGCAGTATTTCAGTCTCTTCACTGAATTTTTGTCAAATGCACTTCTGTTCATAACTTGGTTTCACTCACTTCACTCGATCCAGGCCAGTGCCTTTACTCATTCCCATTCCATCCATGTCATTCTGTCTACCCGTGTGCACCATCCCATGCCATAATTTGCAGGATATCAAGTTCGCCGTCCACGCCCACCCAACTCTCTCTGAGGTCATTGACGAGCTTTACAAGAGTGCCAAGGTAAGGGATCGTGTCATGCCGAGTCGCTGAAGGCATATTTTGGACTTTATGACGTGATGCATTGAATGTTGTCGCGATATGGATTGAGCTAAAAGTCCCTGCTATGATTTACTCATTGTTTCTTTCCTGTCCTTGCAGTATGGAGCTCATGCGCATGCTTAGATGGAACTCGAGAGCATCAAGAAGCTGAATAACAATTTTGTTGTTCTTTGATGTATGTTAGGTATTTGTTCTCCCCAACTAAAATGGGGAGGAATGTAGTCATTCAGAAACCCCAAAATGTTCGTTCTAGATTATTCAGCATTGAAGTGAAATATTTTTGCATTGTAGGGTAGAACTACCAAATACATGTCACGATGAGGATAAGGTTAAATTGGACTGGAGTAATATGTGCAAGAACTTTGTAGCGCAGATACACCGAAGCGGGGATATCACGCCTGATCAAATTCAGGGTTCCCATGCAGCCAATGCCACGCGAATTCACAGACACGGTACAGTTGTTCCTAGCTGCTAGAAACACCGAGTTGCCCTAGTAGCGGCTTGCGATTCTTGTATATGCATCCGCTTTAGACGCGCGTCGTAAGCCTCGACTCGAGCTAGACTCGAGAGGACAGTGGAAGTTGCCGATGCTCGTATCGCCTGCATCTTCTAAATCTCGGGAATCCGCCAGTTTCCACGGTTTCCATTGACACGGCGCAGACGCTGACCAGCTCCTGACGTCAGCATCCTTCTTCTCCGTCAGAGATCGGTTCATGATTCACAAAACACACGCCAGATAGACAGACTGACATCCGTTAATTCACGAGCCAATGGCGGAGTCTCCCAAGTCCCCGAGAAGGTACGTCCTTCAGTTGACCAGCAGTTTTTATATTCGCCTAAAAAAGTACTGCAAGTCCTCGAGCTCCTCGTCACCTCTCGTGAAATTAGGGTGTTTTTTAGACGCCTCAAAAAGCAAGTCCTCGAGCTCCTCGTCACCTTCTCCTAGACGGTACGACCGCTTCAGTCTTCAGCATCGTTCCCGTTTAGTCACAGCACAGGATGTTATTATTCCGGTTGCATCTCAGCATCGTGGCTGCACTCTTGGCTCTAAACATTCAGGATCAATGGGCAGCAGCAACAACGGTCAGAAATGAGACGAGTTTTGAGTCGACTCAAAACTTGTCTCAGGTGTTTCTGAGATAAGTGGATCAGGACCAGTTGGCACCAGCAACGCTCAGAAATTTCAAGACGTCCCATCCTTGTTTGCTGCTGCCCCTGTTTCCCCCCTCCTGCTCTCTCTGTTTCTAGCAGTCCCCCCTCAGCCAACTCTCAAGGGGCGTACTTGGGTGTGTTTGGGTCCGGAAACTCAGGCGGATCAGGAGGATTGGGGGGATTGGGGGGACTAGGAGCAAATGGTAATGGCAGCAGTGGTGGCATCAGCAGCAGCGGTATGGCAGCTGGAGACACGGGAGGAGTGGTGGGAGGAGGAGTGGAGGGAGGGGATATTGGGGGCGATGGCATGCCGATGGGGCCTCATGTGCACCATCACGTGACGCCTGATGGACGGTGGGTATGCATGACCATGGCATGACTATGTGAGGACCATGGGATGATTATGTCAGGACCATGGCCCCTCAAGGGCAGATGGCACACCAATGGGACCTCGTGTGCACCATCATGTGACGCGTGAGTGATAAACGTTGTGTATGCATGACTGTGGAAGATAGGTAGGTCTACCCATGGAAGGTAGGTACGTCTGAACATGTCATGATTATGCTCCCAATCCATCCCAGGGTGGTGGTGTATGAGACAGTGCATGACCATCTGCTGAACGTGCTCCACCTCTCCCCATCCCACTCCATCCCATCCCATCCCCTCTCAGGGTGGTGGCGTATGAGACAGTGCAGGACCGACTGCTGAACTTCTTCCACGAGGCAGCAGGCACATCTGGTCCTTCTCGCACACTGTTGCTCGCGTTGACGTCATCTCACTCCACCGCTCCGCACTCCATCCCATCCCATCCCAGGGTAGTGCCATACGAAACAGTTCAAGACCGGCCCCTGAACGTGTTCCGCAAGGCAGCTGGCTACATCTGGTCCTTCTCGCACACCGTTGCACGTCGACGTCGTCCGTCTCATCATTACCTCCCTTCCCATTCCCCTTCCCTCCCCTCTCAGGGTAGTGGCGTACGAGACGGTGCAGGACAGATTACTCAATGTCTTTCGCAAAGCTGCTGGCTACATCTGGCCCTTCTCGCACACCGTTGCCCCTCCTCTCCTCTCCTCTCCGTCATTGATTCCCATCCCAGGGTGGTGGCATACGAAACAGTGCAGGACCGTTTAATGAATGTGTTCGGCAAGGCAGCTGGCTACATCTGGTACTTCTCCCACACCATTGCACGCGTCGACGTCGTGCGTCCCATCACCACCTCCCACCGCCGCCGCCGCTATCGGGACGATGACGACGGCAACAGGGGCAGGAGCAGCAACGGCTTGAGCAGCAGTTACTTTGGTGCGAGGGACAGCTCTCCTGTGTGGAGGGCGAGGAGGCAGGGCGGGAGGAGGCGAGATGAGGACGAGGAGGGGGGAATGATACAGGGGATCAATCACGGGTTGTATGGGGAGGGTGCGAGATTGAAGCTGATGCAGATCTGGGACTTTCCGGATAAGGAAACGGGCAAGCCCAGGCTTCCATACGGGCTCAACTTTGGAGGTGAGCCGAGCTTTCCCTTTAGATGGCGTAGTGTTCTGTTCTTTGAAGACAGCTGTGTATGTATGGGGAGGGGGCGCGGCTGAAGCTGATGCAGATCTGGGACTTTCCGGATAAGGAGACAGGAAAGCCGAGGCTTCCATACGGGCTCAACTTTGGAGGTGAGGTTGTCGTGGGATGGCATGATGTTCTGATGTAGCATGATGTTCTGATGTAGCATGATGTTCTGATGTAGCATGATGTTCTGATGTAGCATGATGTTCTGATGTAGCATGATGATGATGATGTGGCATGATGTTCTGATGTAGCACGATGATGATGATGTAGCATGATGTTCTGATGTAGCACGATGATGATGATGTAGCATGATGTTCTGATGTAGCACGATGATGATGATGTAGCATGATGTTCTGATGTAGCACGATGATGATGATGAAGGGGGTTGGGTATTGATGTGAAGGGTTGGATACTTACTGATAAGCTCATGCAGGTCTGGGACTTTCCGGATAAGGAGACAGGGAAGCCGAGGCTTCCATACGGGCTCAACTTTGGAGGTGAGATCTTCAAGGGATGGCAGGATGTTTTGCTGTGGCGTGATGATGAAGGGGTCGGGTATTGATGTGAAGGGTGGGTACGGGCAAGCTGATGCAGGTCTGGGACTTTCCGGACAAGGAGACGGGAAAGCCAAGGCTGCCATATGAGCTCAACTTTGGAGGTGAGCTGAGCTTCTTGTTGGGATGGTGTCATGTTGCGATCTTGTAGGGAATGTGCATGCCTCTTTGGGATACCAATGTGGGGGCTCCCTTCTGGGGAGAAGGGTAGCGATGTGGTATCCTCATGCTTGGCTGTCTACTTTGTTTCCTGTTTGACCTTGATTACTCTTTTTCCTATCCTCGTTTTCTCTGTACCATACATACACCATTACACACCCTACGCACACCTTGGATGCACGCATGCACGCACATGCAAGGGCAGTTGGGGCGAATTACGAGGTGAATGGGAGCCGCCTGGAGCCCAAACTGAGAATCCGAACCCCCCACGTGGCCCTGCACCTGCTTCCCGAACCTGACATTGAGCTTCGGGGGAAGTGGAGGCTCGGCACCACAAATGTTGCGCTTGATGTTCGTTACACGTGAGTGAACGATTGAGTGCGTAAGAGAGTAAGTGAGTAAGTGAGTGAGTAGGTGAGTGAGTGATAGGAATGTGTGCAGCTGCTGCTGGATATTGCTGCACTTCGCTGCATGCTTTTGTCAAGTAAAAATGTAGGAAGTGCTATGCTCCGCTTTGACTTCCCCCCATCCCATTTTTGCAGCCTGCCTCTGTGTTCCTTCGACCGCTTCTGGGACCGGGCAGCTGAAATGGGGCAGAGTGTTATTGAATCCTCGCAGCACGTCCGAACATATGACTCATAGCACGTCCGAACATATGACTCATAGCACGTCCGAACATATGACTCATAGCACTTCCGAACATATGACTCATAGCACGTCCGAACATATGACTCATAGCACGTCCGAACATATGACTCATAGCACGTCCGAACATATGACTCATAGCACGTCCGAACATATGACTCATAGCACGTCCGAACATATGACTCATAGCACGTCCGAACATATTACTCATAGCACGTCCGAACATATGACTCATAGCACGTCCGAACATATGACTCATAGCACGTCCGAACATATGACTCATAGCACGTCCGAACATATGACTCATAGCACGTCCGAACATATGACTCATAGCACGTCCGAACATATGACTCATAGCACGTCCGAACATATGACTCATAGCATATCACTGTGCCTTCTCTCTCGTTCCTCGTCCCACCTCTGCAGCCTGCCTCTGCGTTCTTTCGACCGCTTCTGGGACCGGGCGGCTGGAGTGGGGCTGTCAGTGAACCTCTTCAACCCCATTGGCACAGGCTTCCATCTCTCCCCCGGAGGTATGTTCTACCCCACAGCATCTCACAAAACCTCACAATATCTTGCAGCATCCCACAGCAGCTTCTAAGTATCTCATAGCTGACTTATTCACAACCTGTTGGTCTCTCCTCATGGTTCCTTGTCCCTTTCCGTGCAGGGTTGGAGTTTGACGAGCAGGTGGTTCGGTTAGGCAAGCACACGAAGCTTCGCCTGGCCGCAACATTCATGTTTCCAAAACACCTGCCTCTGGAGGAAGACGAGGATCCGATCCGAGTGCGCGTCAACCGATTAGGAATCAAGACGCGGCTAGCATGAAGGGATGGATTCGACAGGAGATGAAGTTGCATAAATTTAGGTAAGTAGCAGTAACTAGGGACTTGATTTGGATCTGTTCTTTCCTACGCAACAGGCTCACATTGTTTTAGAGCCTGTGAACTTTGTCATTATAAAGGCGGTGCGATATGGAGTGTAGAGAGAAATGCATCCGGCTGTAGCGCGAACACGCAGGAGTTTTCGGGTTGCGAGGAACATTCGGTGGCAGACCTGTCCTCCTGCCCCAAGCACGTCTGTCAGGTCGGTGTCGCTGGCGGGAAAACAGCAGGCCAACCGCAAACGTGCGAAGTTTGTTCGGGCAGCGACACTGAAAATTTCACAAGCAATAGCACTAAATTTTATGGTCATCGCCCTATGCCATGCCATGGTAGTTGTTGCAGAAACACAAAACGGGCGAAACTAGGCTGATCCGGATTCTGAAGACTGGAAGCAACAGGATCAGTAAAAACCCAAATACGCCTGAGAAACACTGACGATCAGTTCGGTGCACAAGGTTAGCTGGAGAGATTCGCGCAGGTTCGTGATCCATGTCCGGTCCTATCAGTTCTTGCCGATCAGCAGTAACTATTTGAACTCATAGAAGGCGATCTTGCCGTTCAAGACCGAGTCCGTACCTTGGGGTTAAAGACTTGTTTCCAAGAAAGAAGCGGCCTTTTTGTTTTCGTGGTCTCTATCCTTGCGATCCTTGCGAAGCTCATAAAAAACACTTACTGTGCTAAGACCATACAAAATCTTCTTGATTCAATCGTACCTCAGCAGATCAGATCTCACTTCTCAGTATCGTATATTGCAGTAACATTTCGCCATGTCGGGTCGCAGCAAATTCACAAGCGTCAATCTCAACAGCTCCTTCGGGAGGCAGAGCCCATCCCAATCTCAATCCGGTGCCGGGCAAACCACAGCCGTCGGATCCAGATTCGGACGGACAGGATCGTTCGGGAGCATGATGGTACTGGGGAAGGTCGCAACTCCCAGCGCGTTAGGGGCGAGCAAGAGCGGGAAGCTGGTTGTGCCGAAGCCGGTTAACCTGCCGTCGCTGCGACGGGAGCACGCGGGCAACGATCCGTCCGTCTCGCTTGTTCCCGCAAGCAGCACAGTCTCGGGATGGCAGAGGCCCCCAGGAGGGAAGCCGCAAGGAGAAGGGACGTCTGCAGCTACTCCTTCACTATCAGCATCAGCATCAGCATCAGCATCAGCATCAGCGTCAGCAGCGGCAGCAGCAGCAGCAGCAGCAGCAGCAGGAGTATCAGCCGCAGTTCGTTCGTCAAGTGCGACACACGAGGCGCGACGGTGCGTCTCGCTCTCCCCTCCTCCTCAAGGTTTCGACTTCCCGCCGATTTCAGCAGCAGCAGCAGCAGCGGCAGCAGCGGTGTCTGGAGCCGAGCCGAGTCGCGCCTCCTCGGCGCACCGACCTGGGGTGTACCAACCACCAGGCTCACGTGGCGGTAGCAGTGCCACGTCAGCCACCACATCAACTGTTTCGGCAGTTGGCAACACCGGGGTTGTTTTACGCGGGGAGGATTTTCCTTCGCTGGATGATGCGACAAAGAAGCCAGCAAGCAGTGTTTCCGCAAGCGTCGGGCGCGGTAAGGAGCAACAGGGCAAGAAGAAAACGAAGGCGCTAGAGGCTAATAACGGGGATGAGCTGGCCCGATCGGCGCAGGAGCGCGGCGGAGGGGACGAGGCAGGCCGGGCGACGGAACGGTCCCAGGGTAACGATGCGGCGACGAAACGGGTTACCAGTGGGCGATGGGGTGACGAAGAGTCGGATCACGAGCAGAACGAACGAGATCCTTTGTCCGGATCACAGCCTAACAAGGCGCCAGGGTTCATTTCCAGAGACCAAGGCGGCGAGGCTTCTGGCGATTCCGCTACTTTCGGTGCGGACAGGATGGACAGACATCCCCGTTATAAGGAGAACGAGAGACCGAGCAGGCATGGCGATGGCATGCTTCCGCCGAATCGGTTCGGTCCGCCACCCGGGGGAGGCTTCCGCCGACCTTCCCCCCCGCGCAGAGCATGGGCGGACGATGAGCGGGACCTTGCGCCACCCCAACCCTATCCGCCTCCTGGGGGAAGACTGCCTTTTCCGCACAGATTCGACGGTCCGAGGGGTCAATTCGACGGTTATGGTCCCCCCATGGGTGGAGACCCGGGGGGGTTTCATGCTAACAGATGGGATTCTAGAGAGGGCTTCCGCGATTATGGGCCGAGAAATGGCGCCAGGGAGTGGCACGGGGATCCGAGGCATAACGAGGCGGGCATGTGGCGGAGGGAGGACGCGCGCGGATGGGCGGAACGGCCTCCCGCTGGGAGAGGCGGAAGAGGGCCGGGACCAGGCCCCCCAGGACCCCCAGGCCCCCCGGGTCCGCCGGGTCCGCCAGGCCCCCCGCCCCACCCAGGCCTCCCAGGTCCCCCGGGTCCCCCAGATCCCCGAGGCCCCCCGGGACAAGCGGGACGGCCAGGGCCGTTAGGTCCGCCGGGGCCGCCGGGACTGCTAGGGGCGCCGGGGTCAGGAGCAGCAGGGGGGCCGCCAGGGCCGCCTTTCCCGGGTGAGTATGAGCGGTACGGGCCCATGGGGGATGGGGGGAGAGGAAGAGGGGGTAGTGGTGGTGGATATGGTCCGAGGGGGGAATTTGCCAGGGGTTTCGGGCCAGGCCAGGCTTTTGGCCCCGGTCAGGGTTTTGGGCCCGGTCAGGGGTTTGGACCTGGTCAGGGTTTTGGGCCGGGTCAGGGTTTCAGGCCGAACAGGGAAGGTGGAGGGAGGGGCATGGGCCCGGAAGTTTTTTGCCCATGGGCCGAGAATGGAATTGCAGTCCTTGCCACGTGTAGGAGTTGAACCTCCGCCTAGCCTTGGGCTTGGGCCGCTGGGGCTGCTGAGGCGGAAGAAACTGGAGGGCGAGGGTGGGAGGTCGGAGTTTCGGGACTTGGAACGAGAGAGGTTTGAAGAGGAGCTCGAGAGGTTGCAGTCGCAGAAGGATAAGGAGAAGGTGAGGAAGGAGGAGGAGGAGCAGCGGGCGGCGGAGGTGGCGAGGCAGCAGCAGGAGGAGGCGGTGAGGAGGGGAAGAGAGGAGGAGGAGAGGAGGCGGAGGGTGGAGGAAGGGGAGAGGGAGGCGGCGAGGAGGGCTAAGGTGGAGGAGGAGGAGGCGGTGAGACGGGTGGAGGAGGAGAGGAGGCGAGTGCAGGAGGAGAGGCGGAAGATTCAGGAGGAGGAGGAGAGGAGGAAGGAGAATGCGAGGAGGAAGTTGGTTGAGTTGGAAGAGAGGATTGCGAGGAGGAAGGCTGAGGAGGAGGAGAGGAAGAGGAGGGAGGAGGGGAAAGAGGAGGAGGAGGGGAAAGAGGGGAAGGAGCGTAAGGGAGCAGAGGAGCGGTGTGGGGTGGTGACCGGTGCTGGCTGGAGCAGCAGGGTGGGGCCTCGGTGAGTGTGGCAGAGTTGAGTCTTGAGGAAAAGGGTGCGGTGCTTGGGGAGGGGCGAGAACACGAGGGGCAGGGACAGGGGCAGGAGCAGGGGCAGGGTCAGGGGCAGGGGCAGGGGCAGAGGCAGGGGCAGCATAAGCAGAAAGGAAAAGTCGCACCAGAATGCTCTCAAGAAGAAGAAGGAGCTGCAATTGGGGCTAAACCTGTTGGTGGTGATGGCGGCAGCATCCAGGAAAATTCTGAGTCGACTCAAGAGGTTGCAGCTGCTGGTCCTGAGGGGGAGAGCCGTCAAGAGATTGCAGATAAGGACGAGAAGAATGGAACCGTTGATTACGTGGCAAAAGGTGACACGTGGGAAGATGGCGAGGGGGTTTGTGGTGAGCAGAAAGCGATAGGGCGCGAAGTGGGAGGGGTGGGTGGGGAGAGGTTGCAAGAGGAAATGAAGGAGGTCGGGGGAGAGGGAGGAAGAGGGGTTGAGGGAGTGGGAGAAGGAGTAGGAGAGGGAGGGGGAACGGACGACTCTCAGCTTAACCTTCAGGAGTTGCACAAAGCGCAGCAGCAGGTGCAGCAGAAGGAGCAGCAGGAGCTGCAGCAGCAGCAGCAGCAGCAGCAGCAGCAGGAGCGGCAGGAGCAGCAGAAGCAGCAGGTGGGGCCTTTGGCTGGGTCCGCCGCTGTCCCACCGCTCTATCATGCGAGTGCGGATGCGAGGCAGAAAGGAATGGGCGAGAGGCAGCAAGACGCGAGTCAGCAAGGCAACCACGCAAGCACTCAGCGTTTCTTTGACCCCAGTGTTCGCACGGAAGGGCCTTCTGCTGGGAAGTATGCGGGTGGTGATGCTCATATGAAAGGTGAAGGCTCAGACCGGGCCGGGTTTGGGTTTTCGCCGTGGAATCAGCATCAGCTGCAGCAGTACCAGCAGCAGCAGCAGCAGCAGCAGCAGCAGCAGCAGCAGCAGCAGCAGCAGCAGCAGCAGCAGCAGCAGCAGCAGCAGCAGCAGCAGCAGCAGCAGCAGCAGCAGGTGCAGGGGATTTCGTTTCCTGCGTACGGATTTCCTGGCCCAGGCCCTATCTTGCGCTCCCATCAGTTCGCCCCACCTTATCCTCACTTCCCTGCAATGCAGCAGCAGCATGTGCACCCCCACCCCTTCCACCAGCCTTTCCCGGGGCAGCAGCAGCAACAACAGCAACAGCAGCAGCAGCAACAGCAACAGCAGCAACAGCACCAGCAGCACCAGCAGCAGCAGCACCAGCAGCAGCAGCAGCAACAGCAACAGCAGCAACAGCACCAGCAGCACCAGCAGCAGCAGCACCAGCAGCAGCAGCAGCAGCAGCCACCGTTGCTGCACCGGCCGCCTGGGCTTGCTCCTGGGTTTCTCGCGCATGGGAATGCTGGCCGCGGCTTTGCCTCGTTCTCTGACAATGCCCCAGCAGTGGGAGCAGTGGGAGCAGTGGGAGCAGTGGGGCAAGTGGGGGCAGGTTCAGTGGGTACTGTGAACTCAGTTTCAGGCGGAGGAGCAGCAGGGGGTGGGGCAGGAGGAAGAGGAGCAGGCGGAGGAGGAAGGGAAAGTGGTGGTGTGGCAGCGGGCAGGGCGGGGCACCAAAGGAAGGACGAGTTTGGAGGGAGAGAAATTGGTGGTGGGAGAGAGGCGGGCAGTGGGAAAGAGGCGGGCAGTCAGGGACAAAAGCGGTTTACAGAGATGGGTAATGGTGGTGGGGTGGTGGGGAGAGACAGTCAATGGGGAGAGTCTGGGTCCGGGCAGTATCTGGAATGGAGACGGATCGGACCTGAACCTGCTCCAGGTATGTTTCTCGGGCAGGCTCGGCAGCCCGGAGCAGAGCAGTGGCAGGGGCGGGCTGGTTTCGGGCAGGAGGAAATTTCTGGTGGATCGGGACGGGCGGACGGGCGAAATTGGGCGAATCAACTGAATGGAGTAGGAGGGGGGGATGGGCATGAGAGGAGAGGAGAGATGGGGCAGCAGATATGCAATTTAGGGTTGCAGGTGGGGAAGGGAGAGGGAGAAGGGCGGGCAGAGGGGAGGGAGAGGGGTGTGATGGGAGGGATGGGTGTGGAGCATGATTCGGAAATGAGTGAATCTGAAAGTCTTCCTGCTGATGTGGTGAATGAGTTGGGGGCGCTGCTGTCAGATCGAGACGAGGGTATGTCTGATAGAGAGGAGGGGCTGGTGGGAATGGGTGATCATGAGCGGGAGGTGATTGGTGGAGAAGAGAAGGAGAGGGTGGGGGGAAACGAAGGGCTGGATTCTGTTAAAAAAGAGGGAGGGGTGGGTGATAAGGGAATTGTGGGTGGTAAGGGAGGGGTGGAGGCGGAGGGGAAGCAGCTTTCGGGTGGAGAGACGGCAAGAGCTTTTGAAGAGAATGGGAACGGGACTGCCCCTGCTGCTGCATCTGCTGCTAGTGCTGCTTCCAAGCCGTCTCTCCCGTCCCTAATGCGTTCCTCTGGAGCTCCCTTTGTCATCCAAATCGGTTCTGTGCCTCTCACTGTTGGCGGGCCTGCCCAGCTGCCCGGGCAGAGTGAAATTTCTGGAGCGTGCCCTGTGCCAATGTTTCAGTTCGGGCAGATTGGGGTGCCGGCGTCAGTGTCACCTCCTCTGCAGGCTGGTGCTCGACCCATTGGGTCTGATATTTCAGGGATAAGCACGCAAAGAGACATGCCACAGCATCCGCCACTGAACCAGCAGCAGCAACCACCAAAGCAGCAGCAGCTGCCACCGCCAAATCAGCAGCAACAGCAGCAGCAGAAGCGGGAGGGAGCAGCTGATCAGGTAGCTTCTTCGAGGAAGGAGGTACCTGTGCAAAGGGTGGTGGCACTCGAGCCGTTGCTGCCCCTTCCTGTTTCAGCGGCTGTTCCTGGCAGTGGCAGGGCAGCAGCAGCTTCACTGCCAGCAGCAGCAGGATCGGCAGTAGCAGCAGGGTTGACAGGAGCAGCAGGAGCAGGAACAGGGCCGGGAGCAGCAGGAGCAGTGGCGGTGGGAGGGGGGGTAGGTGTAGAGCAGAGGGACGGTGCTGGTGCAGGTGTGAGTGTGGCGGATCGCAGGCAAGCTGTGGGGCGGGGAGGGGGGGTTCAGAGGAAGGGGAGGGAGCAACTGAGGCAGGGAGAATTAGAGGGAGGTAGGATTGCGGGAGGGGCAGAAGGAGACGTTTCGGGGATAGCAGCAGCGGCAGCAACACAACCAGCAGCAGCGGCTGCAGCTGCGGCAGCAGCAATGGCGGGGCCAGCTGTAGGGGTTAGCAGTGGTAGGGGGGCAAGGGGAGGAAGGGGAGTGAGGGGTGGTCATGCAGGGGGGCAGGTTGGGCAGGCACAAGGGCAGGGACAAGGACAGGTGCAAGCAACCCCATCACATGGCCGTGGGAAAGGCAGGGATGGGTTTACCACCACCCCTTTGGTTCCTGGTATGTCTGCTCGACCTGGACTTGCAGCCTCGGCTGTTGGTGCGGTAAATGGTCCGGTAACAGGTTCGGCTGTAGCTCCGGCGGCTGGTTCGGCAGCAGGAACGACTCCTGCTTGGTTCGTTGCTCAGGGCGTGAGGGTTCAGGAGGGGAGGGCTGGACAGTATCTGGAGGTGCAAGGAGCAGGGTATTCTGAGATTAGAGGGAGTGATGGTGTGGTGGTGAGGACGAGGATTGGAGGGAGGGGAGGAGGCGGGGATAGGAGGAGGGGTGGCGGAAGGGGGAGAGGGGGAGATGTGGTGGGAAGGCAGGTGGGGGAGAGAGGAGGGAAGGGAGGGGAGAGTGGGGGGAAGAGAGAGGAGGTGGGTGTGAGAGTCCAGGGTGTGACCGTACTGCAGGGTGATAGTAAGGGAGTGGGTGGGGCCTGTGATGAAGCTCAGGTGAAGCAGGCAGCTGTAGCTGAAACTGTAGCCAAAACTGTTGTTGAGATTGTAACTGAAACTGAAACTGTAGCTGAAACCTCAGCTGAAACTGTGGCAGAAACTGAAGTGAAAAGTGCAGCTGAAACCGTTGCTAAAGCTGAAGCTGATGCTGCTGACGGTGTAAGTGGGTTGCTGCAGCCTGGGTCCTCACCTGGGCGGTCTGCTGGGGGAACAAAGCCTCTGGCAGGTGCTGAGAGTGACGTGGCTTCAGGTGCTTCTTCAGGTGTTTTTTCAGGTGGTTCAGACAGTGGAGTGTCTGAGGTGGAAGGGGCGTATGAGAGTGCGGAGGGGTCTGAAGGGGAGGAGGAGAGTGGGGGAGCACGAGGCCAGGAGGACAGAAGAGAAGGAGCAGCAAGAGAAGGAGCTGAAACAGGAAGGAAAGGAGGTAAAGGGGCGGCGGATGGGGGCGAGGGAGGGGGAGGGGGAGGGGAAGGGAACTGCAGAGTTGCAGGTTGGTTCAGAGGGGAAAGCTCCAAAAGGTAGTGCGAGTGGGGATGGGAGTCAGCACTCACAGCCCAATGCTCGTGAGGGAGAAAAGCAGCAGCAGCAGCAGCAGCAGTCGAAGCGAGCAGTGAGCATTCGTCGGCCTTTCTCCATGTTCCCAACCGCCTTCCTCTCCTCCCTAGGGTTCCTCTCTGGCGCCTCCTCCTCCGCCTCCTCCCCTTCCTCCACCTCGCCTCCAGCAGGGAAAACCCCCTCTGAAGCACCATCGGAAGCTCTATCCCAAGGGGCAGGTAATGCATCAGTGCGGGCAGCAGACGGATCAGAAGGACCAGAAGAAACAGCAGGGCCGTCGGTGGGGGATAAGTCACAGGCAGCCTCCAGTGCAGCAACAGCTGATGATTCCGGTGCTTCACCTGCTGCTGCTGCTGGTCTGGGTGTGGATGTGTCCGCCTCAGCAACTGTAGCAGCAGTAGCAGGAGAAGAAGACACAGCAGCTGCAGCAGTGAAAGACGCGTCTAAGAAGGCTGCAGCGGGTGGTTCTGCTCCAGCTGCTACAGCAGAGGTTCCCTAGTGGAACCACGCGCAGGGTCTAGGGGCAGAGAGAGAAAGGGGAAGAATTCGGGTGTGGGCAGGGAAGGGGCGGGAAAAGGGTTGACTGGGCAGCAGGGCAGCAAGCAGCGGGCAGGCGTGAGGGCAGCGGCCCCTGAATCTGGCGCTGGTGCTGGCGACAGCAAGAGCAGTGGAAGCAAGGAGGAGAGAAGAGAGGGGGGGCATGGGCATACGAAGCTTGACTGGCTAGTTTCGAGGCTGGAGAGTTTGGGGGATTCCGAGGTGCCGCTGGGAGGAGGGATAGTGAAGGTTTTTGAACAAATAGGGGTGGAGCATGGAGATGGGGAGGATGATGGGGGGTTTGTTACTGTGCAGTCGAAACGGGGGCGGAGGGGAGCAGCGGGAGAGGGAGCAGAGGGAGAGGGAGCGAGAGGAGAGGGAGAGGGCGAGGGAGAAGGAGAAGGAGAAGGAAAGGGAGAGGGAGAAGGAGAGGGAGAAGGAGAGGGAGCGAGAGCGGGAAGTGAAGACTCGAAGGCGGGAGCAACGTGTGAGTGCAATAGTCTGTCTGTGTGCTGCACTTTCCAGTTTCATATCTGCACTTTCAGTTTCAGTTACCCTAACGTTACCAATAACGGTTTTGCCTCCAAACCTTTTTGGCTTTGTTTTCTCCCACCCCCCCCCCCCCCCCTCCTTTGTCTGTTATGTAAATCTCTGTTCCTGTTTCTACCTGTCATCTTCATATATGAATGAAATTGTATTTTTTGCAGATGAAGGAACAGCAGCAGCAGCAGCAGCAAAAGCGCAAACGCCCAGTCAATCCAAACACCACTGGCGTTGGTGTGACCCTCCCTGCTACAACGGCTGCTACAGCTTCTGCTGAAACTGCAGTCACGGTTTTTATTGCTGCTGCTGGTGGTGATGAGCAGGTAAGCTTATTAGACTTCATATTCAGGCCTGTTCATCTTTGCAAGTCCAGTTTCCTGTCCCCTTGACTGAAACATGCGTTCCTCTCCTGTCCCCTTGGCCTAAGCATGTTGCTGTTGTTTTTTTTGTTTTTTTTTTTTTTTCAAGCAGATTCCTCTTCCTGCGCCTGAGTCTGTGAAACCCACTTCTGCGCTGCTTTCTGCAACTGCATCAAGAGGGCAACCCTGTCACGCATGCTGTGCCAGCTGTGGCACCTCCTCCCAGGATACTTGTCACTCCTCCCATGGCTGCTCCAGTGGTTGCTTCGGTGGTGGTTGCTTCGGCGGCTGCTTCGGTGGTGGTTGCTTCGGCGGCTGCTTCGGTGGTGGTTGCTTCGGCGGTTGCTCCAGTGCAACTCCAGCAGACGCACCAGAAGCAGCAACAGAATAGTCAGGAGCAGCAGAAACAGCAGCAGCAGCTGCAACAACCGCAGCAACAGGAGCAGGGAGAGCAGGGAGGGGGAGAGCAAGGAGAGCAGGCGCAGAGGAAGGGGCAGCAGAAGCAGGGCCGGCAGAGGGGCAGCAGGGGAGGTAGGGGCGACAGGGGAGGGAAGCAGCGTCAGGAGTGGCGAGTGGCTGGAGGCCCTGATGCGAGCTGTGATCAGCCGCCAGCTCAGCAGCAGCAGCTCAGCAGCAGCCGACACAGCAGCAGCCATCTCAGCAGCAGGTGCAGGAGCAACCAGAGAAGCTGCTGCAGCAGGAACGTGAAGGACAGGGGTTGGAGGAACAGCAGCCACAGACAGAACAGCAGCAGCAGCAGCAGCCGCTGCAGCAACAGGAACAACAGAAGCAGGTGCAGCAGCAGCAGCAAGAGAAGGGGCAACAAGAGCAGCACAAGAAAGACGAGGAGCAGCACAAGGCAGGGGGTGAAGTAGGTGTGGTGCTGCTACAGCTGAACCAGCATCAGCAGCATCATCTGCCGGTGCTGCAACAGCAGCAGGAGCAGGGGCAGCAGCAGGAGCAGGGACAGCAGCAGGAGCAGCCGCAGAAGCAGCAGCAGGAGGAAAGGCAGCAGCAGCAGCAGCAGCAGCAGGAGGGGCAGCAGTTGGTATCAGCCCCAGGTGATGGTTTCACTCCAACTAATGCCATGCCCCCCTTTCCAATAGCACCAGGAGCTCTGCCCGCTTCTGCCGCCCCAAGCTTCCACCCCATGCATATGTTCCCAGGCATGGTACCCCATCAGGCCATGGTAACGAATCAAGGTATGATGAACCCTCAGGGTATGATGATGCCTCAGGGGATGCTGCCCCATATGCCCTTGTCCCATTTCCCCATGCCCCAGCCGCATGCTCTTCCACATGTGGCCCATGGCATGCCTGGTCACGCCATGCCAAACCATGCCATGCACCCTACTCATGCCACGCCAAACCATGCCATGCACTCGGGTCCTCCCATGATGCTCTTTCCTGGGCCTCCTTTTCCCAATGGGCAGTTCGGGCAGGTGGGTCAGCCCATGCAAGCAGGCATTTCCCTGTCAAATTTCGGGCAGGTTGGAGGAACGGGGCAGGAAGGATTGGGGCACGTAGGTATGGGGCAGGTAGGAGTGGGGCAGGCGGGTATGGGTTTTCCTATGTCACAGTATGGCCAAGGGGTATATAATGTGAGTGCAAGCACCCAAACGTACATGGGGCATCAGCAGCAGCAGCAGCAGCAGCAGCAACCCAACGCAGAAGAAAGAGGAGGGAAACAGCCAGAAAGGCAGGCAGAGGCAGAAGCAGCGGCACAAGCAGCAGCAGGGAGGGGTGGCCGAAAGGGGAAACCAGTCAGTTAATCAGTCAGGCAGTCAGTCTCAGTCACAGTCTGACGAATCACGGAACGCGTCGCACTCGCGATTAGAAGTGCCTGGCAGCATGGGTCGCGCTCGTGGAGGTGTCGTTCCTCCTCCGCGGTTCCAGCAGCAGCAGAGTCAGCAGCAGCGGCAGCAGCAGGTGCAGGGGCATACACAGCAGCAGTGGCAGCAGCAGCACCGCTACATGCAGCAACAGCAACAGCAACAGCAGCAGCAGCAGCAAAACGTACAGACCCAGCAGCAGCAGCAGCAGCAGCAGCAGCAGCAGCAGCAGCAGCAGCAGCAGGGCGTGCGTGATGGTTCGGCAGTGATGGTACTTGGTCAGCAGCCACAGGTAGTGTTCCCTGTTCACTGCCTTCGCCTTAAGTGTTTGAGATTCTCTCAACCTGCCTTTGCCTCTTCTTATGCAAATATTAGAAACTGTAGTGTTTCCTGCTTCACCTGGTTGGCCTTTTACCGTTGATGTTACCTGTTCATTCCTTCATTCTTCTCCACACCCCCACGTCCCTGCAGGTGTCACAACAGCAGCCCTCACAGCAGCAGCCCTTACAACAGCAGTCCATGCCTTACCACTGGCCACACCTTCCCCAGTTTCCACCTCCCCCCATGGGCCCTGCATTGCCTTCCCCCCCCATCGGTCCCTCCCTCCTCCCCATTCCCTCCTCCTGCTCTTTTCTCCTCTCAACACCTTCAACCCCAACCCACTCAACAGTCTTTCGCAGCAGCGCCGCCCCTGCTTTCCCATACCAGCGCCCCAGCTTCGGCTACGTCACATGCCGAAGCAGCCGGTGGTATGGCAGGCTCCCAAGCCTTGAAGCTAGGCTTGGAGGGTGGGTAGCAGGGGGTGGAGGTGAGAAAGACGGGGAGGAAGCTGGGTAGAAGGAAGCAGGAAGGAAGGTCGGGAGCAGATTCTTGGAGTGTCTGCTAGTCCCAGGGAAGCTTCTGCAACAGCCGCTGCTGCTGTCGGCGTTGGTGCTGTCAAAACAGTCGGCAGGTGACAGCTCTGCTACTACTGCCACTGCCGATGCTGCGGCTGTGGCTGCTTCTACATCTTCTGGCATTACCGCCTCCAGCGCGATCGACGATCATCGGTTCCCAGAAACTCTGGGTGATGGGGACACCACCTTGATTTCCGGCAATGCCAGCTTGACTTCATCCTCTGTGCCGCACTCAAGCGCCCAGTCCCTCTCCTCTCGCCCTCTGCTGCACACACATGCTCAGCATGCCGCTCCTTCCCTGCAGTCGATCCCTTACCGTGGGCCTGTGCTTGGGGTGCCAGGGCAGCATCAGACTGGGGTGGTGGTGCAAGGGAGCATGGCAGGAGCAGCAGCACAGACAATGGCACAGTCAGCAGGAGTGGGGATGGTAGGAGCGGGTGGTTTGCCCGTTCCCTTCCCAATGTCTACCTTTCACAGCTTGGGCCTGTACCTGTAGGAATGGCAGGAGGTATGGCAGGAGGAGTGGCAGCCTCACAGCGGTATGGAAATAGGTTTGGCGGAGGCTCGACCAAGGCATGGGCTACTACCAAGGCAGGCCTGCTGGCCCGGGTGGGAACAAGAGGCGGCCTCGCCAGCCGCCGAGGCTCACCCGAGCCTCTGCTGGAGGTTCGGGAGGAGATGGTTTGGGTGGTAACCAGCAGGGTAGTGTGATATCTGGCAACCAGGCAAGTCTTAATTCGCCGGGGGGTTTGATCTCACATCAGCATGGCTACTCTGGATAGCAATGGTTGCTGCATGGGGGTATGAAGGGTTGTGGCGGCAGAGCAGCAGGAGAGAAAGGGCGCAGAGCAGGTGGGTGTGTGTGTTGGGAGAGGCATGGATGCATTTGATTTGTGGGTAACGACGAGAGGCAGGCAGTAGCACGAGAAAGCTGCGAAACCCCAGCACGTGTTGTTTTGTTTTCTGGGCAGCTCAGCTTAAGGTTGGACCTGGTTAATGGGTTTGACTTGTTTGGCTGCAGAATTGCTTGATTTGATTCTTGATTGCTTAATCTCTGGTTGGGTGTTAGGCTAGGTTGCTTTTGTATGAGATTATTTTTAATTGTACATCATCAGATGCCAGGTTGGAACATGTGGTGGTGGAATTGTGCAGAACAGAAGTCATGATTATTGTGAGCTGTAGCACATGCAATGCAATGTCATACCGGATCTTTCCTGTTTCTAATTAGCGTTGCCATTTAGGAATCGTATTGTTGCGTTGGGTGGATTTTGGCAGCATTACAAGAAGAATACAGAGCAAGCGTGTTCTGTAGGGTGCACTACCTGCTAACCTTATACATCCACATCAGCATGGTGGGGTAGTATTGAGTGTTTCTCATTTTCCCCATTTACTTCCTGCCTCCATTTTGTTGCTCGTAAGGTACTTAGTTTCTGCCAGGTTTACTTTTCCGTGCACTGTAGTATGCGAGTTATGGTCGGGTTTGGGTTTTTACTCTGCTTCGCCTGATCGGCAATCCCAAGGCACAGGTTGTGGTGATCACGTCACCTCTCCCTGATATCACGATTTTCTGACATTCTGGTCCTTCTTTTCCTGACACCTGCGAGGGCGGCACCGCGAACAAGCCTCTTTCTTACTCCTCTAGCGACTAGCATTGCTTCCTTCTTCGGCGGTAGTTGCCAATGGCTCCGCCAGCCACCGCGAAAGCTTCCAGTGAGGTGGGTGATCAACGTTACCGTCTCCGACGGTCCAGATCGATATCAACTTGAATATCCTGTCAGGCTAGAGTCAACCTGCCATGCGCACGAATCTGGCACGCGTAGTTGCATTGGCTCCTCTCCACCATGCCTGATCCGGCGGTGCGCATGTAATGCTTGTTTCCGAATCGCATGTCGGCATGTTAAGATGGAATAGGCTCTTCGCAATGGCAAGTCAAGTTCGGGAGTCCTATGCAGAGTCGGGGTAGTAGTATTCTATTCTTTAGAACAGCATTCGGATTCTTTGTAGTTGCAAGAACTAGCATGGATTTCGAGTTTAAAGAGTTTCGACTCGTCTCTAAAGTAACTTCTTTCTAGGGACGACATCTCAGTCTCGTACGTGCGAAAATCCAGCAGGGTTTTTTTAATCCACTTTCTTGCAGTTCGTCAATTCTAGCTTGCAGAAGGGATGAGAGAATCTAAGAATGCAAAGACTTGATATTCACAGGGACGGCAAAGTCGTTTCGTAAGACAAGCAGCCAACGCCTTTCACACGATCACTCCATTACCCGATTGCTCTTAGATACGCTCACCAGATTCCGGTGGAAGCAGCCAGCGTCGATCACCTGATCACTTGCTCAGCCTTAGATAAGCGTTACAACATTCTTTCCTTGTTGGATGCGTCTTTGGCATCTCCCATTCTGATCCTATGAGGCCTTTCCCGTTTTGATACTTCAACCCCGTACTTTATAAGGCCCATCATCAGGCAGCACGAATTCGCCGTAAACGCGTCTCCCGACCATCCCCCACTTCCTCTTCTGCATCTCGTCTCCCCCTCTCGCCCTTCACAGGCTCAGCCACAGGAGGGCGCGAAGAGCCACGTGCGGCGGGACCTGCTGCCTGCAGATTCAGGCGGGCCGGCAGAAGCAGTGGGAGGAGGAGAAGGTTATTCGAGGCCACGGCCAAGGAGGGAGCAGTTGCTGGGTCCGGCCCTCGTGATGACCGCTTCTTTGGCAACTTCCCCTACCCCTACATGAACGGGCTGCTGCATTTGGGTCACGCGTTCACTCTTTCTAAGGTGAGAGACTGAGTCACTGAGGCCCTGTGCTACACAGGCCTCCTGGGGTGGGACCGCGTCACTGAGGCCAAGGAGGGCGCAGCTGCTGGGTCCGGCCCTCGCGATGACCGCTTCTTTGGCAACTTCCCTTCCCCTATCCCTCCACCATGAACGGGCTGCTGCACCTGGGCCACGCTTTCCACTCTCTCCAAGGTGAGAAGCGAGTCACTGAGGCCTGTGGTTACACAGCCTCCTGGGTTCTGGCCCTCGCGATGAACCGCTTCTTTGGCAACTACTTCTACCCCTACATGAACGGTCTGCTGCATTTGGGCCATGCCTTCACTCCCTCCAAGGTGAGAAAACTGCTCTTCACAATGCATGCCTCGTTCTGTGGTCGATTTACAAGCGCCTTTCCCTCGTATTCCTACGGGCCTGCTGCATTTGGGCCATGCGTTCATTCTCTCCCTGGTGAGAACTTTTTGACATGCTGTGCTGTGCCGTTCCATGCTGTGCACCGCATTTGAACTACGCGTTTTCCAAAAGCAGCAGCAGCAGCAGCAGCAGCAGCAAGCAAGCAGCAGCAGCAGCAGCAGCAGCAGCTTACAATCGCCCTACTCACACACTCTAACCCCCTTCTCCCCATCCTGCACCCGTTGCACCTTTTTCTCTGTCCTTTCGCACCTAGTGCAGGTGGATGTTCGCAGCATCGTACCACCGGCTGAGGGGAGCTAATGTGTTGTTCCCCTTCGGCTTCCACTGCACTGGCATGCCCATCAAGGTGCGTGCGTGCTGCATGATAGATAAGTCTTTTTGTTCTGTAAACAAATCAATGCATGTATCGTGCTCCTCCCCTCCCCTTCGGGTTCCAGTGCATAGGAATCTCCTGTTAACCGCCCTCCCTTCCCTCTGCCCCCACACCAGGTGCGTGTGGACACATACGGGGTACCCGCCCCAGTTCCCCAGTAAGGGGGTGTTTTGTTTCCATCCCCATACTACCTTTTCGTCCTTTTCCTCCCCACCACTTCCTTCCAGGCGTGTGCTGACAAGCTAGCGCGTGAGATAGACACGTATGGTTACCCGCCCCTGTTCCCCAGCGAGGAGGAAACGGCGGCTCTGGAGGCACCTCATTCTTATAACCCCCCCACCCCATCCCTCCCGTTCATCCCCTTCCCCCCTCACCAGGCGTGTGCGGACAAGCTAGCCCGCGAGATGGACACGTACGGCTACCCGCCGCAGTTCCCCTGCGAGGAGGAAACGGCGACTCTGGAGGCCCTCTCCATTGCGGAGGGCAGCGCGTCTGACCCCATCCCTTTCGCCCCTCCCCTGCCCCCTCACCAGGCGTGCGCAGACAAGCTAGCGCGTGAGATGGACACATACGGGTATCCACCCCAGTTCCCCAGCGAGGAGGAGGAAGCGGCGGCTCTGGAGGCACTCTCCATTGCGGAGGGCAGTGCTGCTGCAGAGGGGGGGGATGGGGCGGCCACGGACGGGGCTAAGGGGGGAGGAGCAGAAGGCCCCTGGGCAGTTCAAGGGGAAGAAGGTGAGGATTTCTTCCCGGCGGGATAGGGGGGGATGATGATTTTGGAATTTCAGCTGAGGGGTTAAATGAGGGGATGGCGGTGGTGATGGTGTCATAGTGTGGTCTGGGACTGGAGCTCACACTTTTTCTTCAGCTCTCGCGTTTTGTCAGCATCCCATCCCATCAGCATCCCTGCCCCTAGTTTTTCACCCCTTTCTCCCTCCCTCTCATCTCTCCCCTCGCCCCTTCCTGCCCCCTCCACCTAATTCCTGACAGTCCAAGGCGGCTGCCAAGACAAGGACGGCCAAGTACCAGGTAAGGGAGGTGGCAGTAGGGGTGGCGGAGCTGGTTGGGGGATGTGGCACAGTTGGT